GTCCTTTGACGTCAATATCCAAAACATTTTCTTGAAATGACGTATAGGTCACCGGCTCGTTGTCTGAAATGAGTCAAGCTCTCATTACAAGTGGCACCAGGGCTCTATTTACCAAATAAAAAAACTTCAGCGTCTGACTAAGACGAATATATTTCTGAAAGTTAGAAGCGGAACACCTCATTGAAAAACTGACGAACTGGAAGCAGTCACCTGTTAATTTGTAGCGGCTCTTACAAGCGAAAAATTTGCAAAAAGATTAGCTGCTTCAACTTAACATCGCACTTATGGGGTGGAGGTATGGCAGTAGGAAGTGGTATACTGAGAAAACCAAACTCCGGATCGCCTTCCGCCCAATCCAATCGAACCTTCCCTTTCTCCAGGGCTGTTGAGTTGCTGGCAGCTCGTCATTAGAGACAAGTGAGTTAACACATTGGGGATCGCCGTATTGTGCGCACATCCCAATCATTTCATCATTTTTCATCAATAATTGATCAGTAATTTCCTCTCTCTTTTCAATCGCTTATGAGGGAGGATATGTCGATAACCGAAAACGTGTTTTCACAACAATAGACATGAGAGGAAAATCAAAATAATCAAATAAAACACAGCATAGGAACAAATCCATGACACACCATGTGTGTCACGCGGTCCGAAACGTGTTAAACATAGGTTAGTCTATATTCCTACTTCATTGTAGGCTACATCGAATTGATAATGCTACCATAATTCGGAACGTGAGTGAGATGTGCGGTGCATCTCAAGAGGAGATAGTTCATTGCCGAAAGGTCTATCGCTTCAGCGCACATGATTTAGGGACTACCGGCGTCAGCCGAAGCCAGTAGCGAATTTCGGTGCTCTTGGGACGTGCAAAAACTAGCCTAATGCGCTCTCAGGTGCGTGACAGGATAAGATACCAACAAGGAGTTTCAGCCGATTTCATGTCCCGAAGACGACGGTTTCGCGGAAACGTTGACCATTGAAGCGGTACCACAAACAGCACGCCTGGTCGGCACAGCAGCACAAAACAGTACTTTCATAGTCCTGGACAGAAATGGTACGAATTTTTCACCACTTAAAGGCTAGAAGGCTTGTTTGGCTAAGGCAAGGAGTCGATCCAAGATTAGCCGCGAAACTTGCCACTACACCATCTCGTCAAGTGTGAAGGTGGGAGACGAATGTCGACTTCAAACAGTGTGAGACGAAAGTGTAGCAACTTTGAGTATTCCCAAAGCTCCCGTAGGCAGAATTCACAATTCGCAATGCTTGCGATCCAGTCGCGCAACTCCGGCGAACTGGCTGTGGAGCGTCAGAAAGCGGCCCCAGTGACTAGCGCATGAGGAAGGACGGCGAACCCCCTCCACACGTCTAATCACAGAATTGCCTGCCTCGCTCGGGTCACGCGGTTAAACGCCCGTCCAGCTGACTATGATCTCTACTTTTCAACATCCTGAAGAGACTTACTTTTGTTAGCGATTTTTCCAAAAATGTGGGTTTTGCCGGAATCGCTGAGTCCAACTAACAGGAAAGTGTCAGCTTTACTTTTCAAGGATCTGAAAAAGCGCAACATCTTTACACCTACGAAATGAAAATAGTGGAAAATCATACCTATAGAAAAAGAAGGCTACTGTAAGAAAAACAACAATAGCAGCAACAACGATAGCTAGGAGATTCGGTTCCGCAAAGGCTGGTTTTACCAACACCTCAGGCTCGGCTCTTTCCATGGGTTCCATCTGACCATTGATAAAAGAGAATTTTGTTATTAAGTGATAAAACGAAAAGAAAACACTGCAGTAGGCACATCCTTGAGGTAAGAAGCTGAGAACATGTCAGAAAATCTTTATTTCCTTCCGCATAAGAAATACTGTACAGCAAATTCCTAAACATAATTCAATTTTCTATATGATACATCTGTTTCACTCGCTTGGAGAGGTCGTTTTTGCCTTTGATCCGTTTAGATTCCTCAAACAAACAGCTTCTACCCACTGAAAGAGGATTAGATTATGAATGTTCGGAACAGGTACTGATAAATGGTACCCACATGCTGGATCGTGAAATATTCCTGAAAATTTCTCCGCAGCTCTTTCTCTGACCCAGACTCTCGTAGATCCAGTTATGACACTTGCCAGTTGCACAATCACATACCTAAAACTTTCATGATTTCCATGTAAAGTAGGGTGCTAACGTAGTTGGGGTATGGGACCACTTGGCCAGCGCTTGCCTATCTCTTCCCCTAAACAAGACAGGGGTTTAATGGGGACTATGTCTTCTCTGCATGACTATCTCTAGACGACTCTAGTCACCTCACGTCGTCTCAGGGCACTTGTCAACTGCGAAGCCTCTCTTCTCCTTTTTTTTTCTTCCACTTCCTTCTTTTCCTTCCTTCCTTCTCTGTTCCCTCCTCCTTTACCTTCTGCAAACGACTTCTCTCCAGAAGGTTGACCCTGTTCAAGATATTTTTTATAGACTGTTGACCTTGATTTTCACTATGCAATTTGAAATGGGATCAGGACGAATTGTTTCGAAAATAGGTTTCGATTTACAGGCTCTGAAGAAGGCAATACTGCCGAAACGTCGGTCGAGTAAAGGATTTGTAACAATCTCGGATTGCTCAAGAAAGTTCTTTGAATACCCCTGGATCCACGCGAGAGCAAGCCGAGTGTACCCCCTAATTAGGTCACCCAAACTACTTCAAACAAAGGCAACAAAATGAACTAAATGACGTACTTCGACTTCGCTCCCATAGTCCAGCTTCAAATAAATAGAACGACTGATTATAGAAAGAAAACGAGCACCTCTCCTGATCTGAAAATGCAAATCAACCACTTTGATATACTAAGCATAAATAAAGGAAAACAAGTTGTTTAAAAACTTATCGAAACCTTTGACAACACCTGCTCGTCTAACAGGGAGGGTGGTCTGCATTGCACCGAACCTCTTGAACTTGACGACACACCCTTTTGCTGGCGGCCTCGCCTTGCGTGCGATACCGTTGTACTTTTCGTTGGATTTAGCCTGAAGAAATTTGTTAGCAGTCGTGCCGTCTATCACAAAAGCAGAGGAATTTGCACATGTTTCTCCATTTAAAGCATTGTTTTGTGCGTTAAAAGTCGCCAAAAGCTACATTTACTTGATGTCTTCTACTGCTTCCTTTTATTGTCTTTATTACTGCAATACCTAGGGTTCTTGTATGTTGTTAAGATTTCACCTGAACTTTAGCCTTTGAGCTTTTTCTCTAATGAGCAACAAATCTCTTGATAATCAGGGTTTGCAGTACGTGAGCTATCCGTGGGAATTTCATTGCGAGAGCCAGCAAAGCCAAACCAGTTCTATCTTTGCTCATGTAACTTGCTGAAACGGCTACTACTGGCTATTGAAGTGTGTATACGACTTAGAGCAGGAATAAACTCTGCTGACACTCCTCCATTTGACACCCTTTTCTGGTTTGAGTGTGAACCTGAGGCGGATGCCAAATTGAAACTAAACCAGTTAGTTTTTTTTCCACCATCCATTGATTCATTAGGAACGGGGGGAGCAATTTATTTGAAATGTGTTGTTTTCCAGAAAGACCATATCCATCCGTAAAATGTGCTAGTGTTCCTTGTTATCTACGCGTTAGATCCGATTTCCCGGGCTGATGACCTCTGGGGAGTTGGTTTTCAAGATTTTGCAAGTGTCAGTGTTTTTTAGCTTGCACTGGCTTCGATCCGTGCAAAGCTGCATGAATGTTTGTGGAGGCACTGACTGGAACGGCGGTATACGTTTTCTCACTCATTTAGCCCCATTCTGAACTTACTGGACAGTCTCGGATGCACGGCACATCCCAATTGAATTGTCCACAATTGAACTATCCTTTACCCTTCGTTTTTTTTGCACTTTTTGATTTCCATCGTAAACTATGCCTTGTTGGCGAACTCGCAGCTGTGCTAACATAACGTGGAGGCCTCTATGACTTGGCGGCACTTCAGTTTTATGCAATAAGCGTGGATAAATGGGATTTCAGTGTCAATTACCTTTGGGGGGGGGGGGGGTGCATGCAAAGGGCTTTTTGACGGAACTTGAGTTACACTCTAGTTCTCTGCGGACGGTTGGGCGTGTCAGCCAGTATGAGTGTGTCACCCTATCAGAGCCGTTCTCTGCCTTCTTGTTGAAACGCGCATGCGACAAAAAGTGGTAGAAAACGAGTAATACGAAGATATGATACAGTATTGTCACTTGCCCGCTTCAACAACTGGTGTAGAACGAGTTTGGCACCGCGCCAAGCGCAGCCGCACTGACACGCCCAACCGTCCGCAGCGAACTACAGTATATCGTCATCCGACTAGGTAATCGTAGTTGAGATTGGTTCACCCACCCGAAGGTCCTTTTTCCCCATTTAAGACGGTCTTCGTGCTCAATCAATTCGTAGGCGTCCTTCCTTCTTCAAGAAATCTGGTTCCCCCGGTCTCCAAGATTGTCTCACTTTTGCGGTTTTACTGTTAGTAACAAAGAAGCAGCGGCCCTTAAAGGTAGCATTTCTGAGCCTCCCTAGTTGCCCCGCCCACCAGGAGTTGAGGGCTATTTTCTGCCATGAATCCACTCGTTCAACCGTGTTTTTCGTTTTTTCACTGTTAGACGGTATTAAGAGGCGATATGATATAGCTTTGCTGCCGTGAAACGAGCAAATCCAGAAAACTCGTACATTGAGGCTGCCAGGGGTCCTTACTTAGGGTGTATTTCCTAGAGGAAAACCTAGCGACTATAGGTCCGTTATCAAACGCCACTGTCCACAGCAATCGCAGGGTTTGCCTTTGACCTTTTTGCTGGGCAGAATTCCTTATCTCCTTTACGGTACTTCTACTTTTGCACAGAGCCCTTTGAATTTTCCTCTAAGGCTAGCGCTGGAGTTTCTGC